TGTTCAGCTGTGCATCTGACTTGGGGACACGCATAATCAGAAAACCCAGAATTCCGGGCTCCAGAATATGCCTCTTCGCAGGTAGTACTGTGAATAATATAGTTAACATCAAAAATCATGACCAAAGACACCAAAAACGGATCAAAATTGTATTTTAAAATACTTAAAACGTGGAAAAATTGGGAATCGATTCGCATTAATCTCAATCCCATTTCCATTTTTGAGGACTTCATTAGCCAACATTGTGCATATATTTTGAAAAAATCGACTGTCACTTCCTTGTTCAAAACTACAAGCAAAATTGAGAAAACTTAAAAATGTCACCGTATTTTTTAGCAGTTTCCAAGAGCGTTTGATTGTGTGTAATCCAGAACAAAAATTAGAACATTTTCGTAATCTTTTTCCCTTTAAATGCAGCTTTCAATACTTTAAAACGGCCATTGACTCTCGCCTATCACTAATAGCCTACTAGTAGCGTAGCCAATCAGAACGCACGATATGTGATAGCCTACCAGTAGGTTTATACTAATAGTTATTACTCACACTGCATTACGCACACAAATTTCAGAGAATATGATTGGTTGGATTGGAAATACATCATCACAGTAATTAGTGGGCGGTGATAAAATTTGCTTGAGATTGTTACAGACTCTCCTTTCAATGAGCCTGCCACGCAGGCTATCCATTACAAAAATTTCACATTAAAGTTCATATATGAAATTGGAATTTCATATATGAAATGAAGATTTTCATATATGAAATTAGAATGCGGTGTTCCTCAAGGGTCAATCCTCGGCCCATTACTGTTCTTAATATATATAAACGATGTATATAATGCTACGGACATTGGAGAGTTTATTCTATTTGCTGACGATACTAACTTGTTCTATTCTCATGATAACTTGTCATCTTTAATGGGTCTGATAAATTCTGAATTATGTAAGCTTTCGGAATGGTTTCAGTCTAATAAACTTTCTATTAATACAACCAAGTCCAACTATATAATATTTAAGCGAAGGCAAAAAAGGCTAAAATTTGACATGAAACTGGAAATAAACAATAATGAAATTAATAAAGTCAAAGAAGTTTGTTTTCTTGGTGTAATGTTAGATGAGAACTTATCATGGAAAGCACACATATCCCATGTTGCTCAAAAAAAATTCTAAATCTATTGGAATTATATATAGATCAAGTTTTTATCTCTTCAAATCAGCTTTGCGAATGCTCTACTTTGCTCTGGTCTATAACCACATCTTCAATATTGTATTACGGTATGGAGATCGACGTATTCAACTAATCTCAATTGCATTGTTGTCCTACAAAAACGTGTGTTACGTATCATTGATAAACAGGACTTCGGTGTGCATACCAGTCCTATTTTTGATGAACTTAAAATATTGATATTCGAAGATATCTATCTATTTAACCTCGGAAAGTTTATTTATCAATACAAACATAAATTGCGTCCTGATTGTTTTGAATGTCCACTTTTAACTGCAAATCAAATTCACAATTATAATACCCGTAAATCCAGAACACTTAGCGTCCCTTATTGCCGGACAAATACTCGCTTATTTTCTGTCAATTATCAAGGACCAAAATTTTTCAATACGTTGAATCCCGATATACGTAATTCATCATCTATTTTTAGTTTTCAATCTAAGTTAAGATCGTTTCTTTTTTCTCGTTACATATAGTTTCAATATTTAGCAATTTGGCTGATTTAATTCATTTTTACTCGAATATCTGTCTTTGCCCTAGTATCATGCACATGTTTTATTTAATCTAGCTGAAATCAATGAGGTAGCCCAAAGTATACAAGCCTGATGGTTTCTATTTGGGCTTCCTCACCACAATTATTTTTTTGTGATGTGTATGATTATTTGGTATTTGTATTTTTTTGTGGTAAACCAAATAAATTATTATTATTATAGAATTTCACATGTGAAAAGGTAAGTTCATATATCAAATTTCAGTTTTATATGTGAAATTCTCTTTTTCACATATTAAATTTCCATATATGAAAGGCAGGTCATATGTGAAATTTTAATTTCATATATGAAAAACCAAATTACATATATGAAATCCATTTCAAATGTGAAATTTAGTAATTTCATGTAAGAATTTTTATATATGAAAATCAAGTCATATATCAAGTTATACAATTCACATATGAAAAAAGAAATTTCACATATGAAATCCATTTCACATTGTGAAAGTTGGTAATTTCATATAAGAATTTTCATATATGAAAATCAAGTCATATATGAAGTTATACAATTTACATATGAAAAACTAAATTTCATATATGAAATCCATTTCACATGTGAAATATGGTAATTTCATACAAGAATTTTCATATATGAAAATCAAGTCATTTATGAAGTTATACAATTCACATATGGGAAAAGAAATTTCATATATGAAATCCATTTCACATGTGAAAGTTGGTAATTTCATATAAGAATTTTCATATATGAAAATCAAGCAGTCTGGAACAATAAATTGGCCGCCATCTTTGAAGCTAAATTGAAGGCCGCCATTGGAGGTACGGCGGCGAAAATCCTCCTCTTCGAAAAACTCGGAATTCTGCCTTTCAATTCTAGCTATGCTAGAACATAGATAAAAAACTTAAAAACATCTACGATACTTGGACTATTGCACAAATCATGTTTGGAAGCCGTAGAAAAGACTTAACGTTATTTTTTTTGTACCTGAAAGTCGTATTTTGTCCCGCACGGAAAATATTTTGTTATTTTCTTCAATACAAAAATGGTTCCTTTCGAGATTTTGCTGTTAGTGGATGTAGAATACTTAGAACTATCCAGAAAATCAAGTTTGAATCTTTGAAATTGAAATCTTTGGACGAAAAACCTAATTGTTCGGCGTATTTTTGCTACGAAAACAAAATTATGAGGAAATTGAACTCTCCCCAGTTCTTTTTTGAAAGTCACAGCGCGCGAACTACTCCCGGGCGCCAAATCACATATCGCAAATCTATGGAAAAATCGACTTATTCTATGGGTTTCTATGGAAAAATCGATTTATTCACGTTTTAGAGACGTCAAAAAGCACTCAAAATAAACAACTATACCTAGACTTTAATACAAAAAAGGTATTGGGCCGTAGATTTATGTTGTAAAGTATTTTTTTAGTTAAAGAGCAAAGTTCACTTATCTAAGTTCTAACTATCAAATAAATCGTATTTGGGTTTTTAAAATTGAAGTCTTTTGATGAAAAACGACTTTTCTTGCTCATTTTCGTCAAAAATAAACATTGACTGAATTTCTCACTCCTCGAAACTCTCCTTAGTCCTTTTAAAAGTGCATTTTCCTCGCACGGTTGGCTGCAGGCAAGTATGTGCATGTTTACCTCAGTTATCGTTCCAGTCTTTATTCACTGAAATCAAGTCATATATGAAGTTATACAATTCACATATGAAAAAAGAAATTTCATATAGGAAATCCATTTCATATGTGAATTTTGGTAATTTCATATGTGAATTTTCATATATGAAAATCAAGTCATATATTTCACATATTATGAAATTATACATTTCATATAAAGTAATTGCATACACGTAATTCATGTCATAGTGAAGTGTAATTGGAACTGGCCTACACTGTAAATTCAAAAGAGTAGTTTTGACCGTCTTTTTACTCCTAGGGGTCATTTCTGTCCCTTTGGAAAGAGGGTAGTTTCTACACCTCGAAAGGGTCGTTTCAACTCCAAGGGTAGTTTTGACTACATGGTCATGGAAGAGGGTCCTGAAGGGGTAAAATGGGAAGTGGGATTGATATATTTTTAGATTGGGAAAATGGGATTTGGGTTGCTGGGACTGGGATTTGGCCACTGAGAATGGGCTAGTTTCTCGGGTAGAGGAGAACTGATCACGTGATCGGCTAGTTGGGTTGTTTGTGGCGTCAGATATAACCGAATCCCTATTTCTAAGCCTAATCCTGAATCTAACCCTTACCCTTACCATAACCCTAACCCTTACCCTAACCCAACACTAATCACTATAACTAACTGATGACGTAATCTGTGATGCAAATTCTTCTACCCGAGGAAGTACCCGTCATTGGCTACATTCAATTTGGATTTTAAGGGTAGTAATGTATCTTGTCCATAGTTAATTATTGATTCGAGCATTTCTACCTTTGCATTACATGAGTTTTGAGTTTCGATTAGGCCCTTAATATCCACTTCTTCTAAGTATTTCCGCATTATCAGCCGTTTCGTGGCTCTCAAGTGCCGGGAGATCGTATAAAATTTCGCCTTTTGGTTAGTTGGTCTCTTCAAAGGTCGAATTTCGACTGATAAATGATCGGAGAGGCCAAAAGTGGACGTTTAGTTGGTAAGTACCAGGTCAAGGGAACTAGAGGCACGAGTTGGAAATTTGACTATCTGGCATAGTTTGAAACTATTTTTCAGTCCGGAAAGGTTTAGTTTATTGAAGTTTCCAAGGATTATTATGCCACAATTGGTAAATAGTGCCTCAATTGATGTTAAAGCCTCGTACAAGTAGTTAATTAAATCCTGATCGTTTCCTTTAGGGTGGTGGTAAAGATTGCTTAGTATAATACATCATATACCTCTTGGGAGACGTAAAGGTTTTAGCTTTAGCGAAATGGCTCCGAAATCGTTGCTCACAAGCTCTGATAAAATATCGTACTTTATAGCATTTTTAACGTAGACACAGACGCCACCGTGTTCGCCTTGATATCTATCGCGTCGTACAATGTTGTAAGCGGAGATTTCGACGACATTATCATGTATATGATTTTGGAGACATGACTCCGTTATGGCTCCAGAAGAAAGCAGATGATGGCTTAACAGATGCAAAGGCTGAGATAGAAAAACTTCAGAATAAAAATACCAACTTGTGGCAATATTTTGATAAAATATCAGAGCAAGAGGGATTCAAGAACTGTGGAAAACCCATTTTTGAACTCAAAGATAGGCAACAACGACGAAAGATAAGGTAGCTAAAGACATATATGGAACAAGCTCTATGGTTTGCTCAGACCTTTGGTCTCAAATTGAGCTCAGTTACATTCAAAGATGATAGTGGCAAATCTCATGAGATGGATTACCAGACTGAAGATGGGAGAGGAACGCATTATAAAGATCTGTCTGAAGAGGAAAGAGAAAAGGTTCACCAGGTCTTCTATGTCATGGACAGTTTTGCATAAGTGAGGCGGCTTATCATGAATTGACAATGGCAGATGGTGGGGAAAAGCTCCCTCGCTCATACTTGGCAAAGCAGTGCAAAACCGACCTAAACAGTCTTTGCCACATAACCAGAACCCCGGGTGTGGAAGAAGGTGCGCAGATGGATCTTAAATCTGAATTACAGAACGCAATAAGGAAAAAGGCAAGTTTTTTTATTTTATAACCCATTATGTATTATAAATTGTTATGTTCTAGCTTCTCTAAGGGGATTAGGGGGTAAACTATCAACTTGACTGAAAAAATAACACTCGACCCCCTTTAGGAGCTTCAAATTTCTAGTCACCCATCCCAATTTAAATTACATTTTACTATAACCCCCCCCCCCCTCCCCCATACAAAAGCTGTTAGTTTTATAGCAATAACAAACTCCAAACTTGGATAAATAAATTCATTGTAGGTATACATTTGTACAGCGTCATTGATACAGTAGTTCATGCCAAATTAAAGTCTGTGTACATAGTCTCCATTAATTAATAAGTTCGTTGTTGGATTGCAAGTCGATTAAAGATAATAAGGAAGATCTCAATCCGTAAGCCCAGATCATCATCAATGCAATGATGTGATGTTATTATATGAAATATATATTCTAATCATATGATATGAAATATATATCAATATATAATATGAAATTATATCATCATAATGATCATATTATCAAATGTTTGCACTGATGATGATCCGGGCTTCCTGATCGAAAGCTTTGTGTAATTTAATCGTGGTGTTTTTCACAAAAATATAAAAACAATTAATATTTACTAAAATTTTAAATGAAAAGATTCTTCAAAATGTTAATAACTGTTGGTGTATCAAAACAAGTTCCTGTTTCACAGCAACAACATGTTAGAATCTACTTTTGACCCTCCCCTCTAGGTGGTACGTATAATGAATGACGACCCCCTTTTTTCCTAACTTAAATTCTTGTGACCCACCACCTATTTTTACCCTCCCCCTCTATAAATAATGTACCGGTCCCTAATGACAGACAATTTTACTTGTAAAGCCTTAATTGATATGAGTGCCTCCTTTGTATAGCACTTAATTATGGTATTTGTATGCTCCTTTTCAGGTTGATTTAGAGCAGTTCAAAGAAAACAGTGGTCACAAAATTAGAATCAAGAACAGTGGTGATGGGCACAAATGATCCGAATAACAAGCTTTGTGATCATGTCTTTCTCACTGATGGATTTTGATGATGTGATGTCATCAAAAGGTATTTTTGTCCTAAACTAATGTATTAATTAGTCATAGCAAGTATGCATTTGGAAAATCAACCCACTAAGGGACAAGGGTATATCAGGGTGGTAGACGGAATATATTTCCTGATGTGCCCTTAGGATTAACCAATGACTTGGCCCAGGGACAAGTCCACCTGGGTTTATTACCTGCAGATTAAATTTGTCTAATATTATGGAGAATAAATGCTGTACATGTGTGCCCTTATGTCCTCTGACATACTGGCACTGAACACAGGTTTTCCATATTAATTTTAGTTAACCAATTAACTGGCAATGCACCTGGAATGTGCTTACTTTAGTATCTTGCTCTGCCTAGTGCCACACAATTTTGCTCATCAGTGGAAGAGAACTGCCAGTTAATGAGACTGGTTATCATAAATTAATATGTATATTTTTCTATTTCAGGTAGTCATACAATTGGCATTGTTAAAGGGCAGGAAAGTTATGATCTGTTGAAAAATTCCTTTTCAGATATATTTTCAGTAGTGAATGATATAATCAAGGAAGGAAAAATCAGGGTAGATGACATCGATGTTCCAGTTGAGATCTTCCTTGGTGGCGATTATAAGGTAATTAAGGTTGTATTTCAAGGCAGTTTTCTTACCAGTTGCTGATGGAATGTTATAAATATTTTTAGTTTCTTCTTTTATTCCTGGGGATGAAAGGTGCCACATCGGATGAAAGGTGCCACAGCTGTGGAGTTAGTTTCAAAGTGTGGGAAAAGAACAACGCAAATGGTGGAGCAAGTGGCACGTATGATTTTACGAGCCTCATGGGTACTGATAAAAAACTTCTTCTAAAAAACCTCCCAGAAAAATTAGATGGTGTTGTCAAGACAGATTCCAGTGAGACCGTGATAAATCCCTGGAAGGTTAGTTAGTGGTTTACTTGTACCTGTATGTTACATGTAGATGCACTCTAGCAGATTCAAAATCGATCTGGACTGAATGGATTTGAATTTTTTTCAGAAAATATAATTATGATAACATTTCCCAATTTTATGAATAATTGCAGAATTCCTCTGAACTATACACAATGTTAGACAAACAAGAACCATCTGATGATTTTGTTGCTAACTACTTTGAAAAGGTTTGTGAGTATATAAATGAACACCCCTAATAGAAAGCATTCATTGTTGTGATTTGCATGTTCACGTCACATCCAGTTCCATAGCTATAATACTTCATGTAATAATGTTCAAGGTTGATATTTAAAATAGTTTTTGTACTTTTGTTTGTGCGACTTCTTGTCAATTTATCCGCCTAAATTTGAACCCAAACCTATTACATTGTGTCAGGTGTGTTTGGAAAACACTAGCTTTGATTAGTGACAAAGTTTATTACACCAGGCCGGTGTTATTGTCGCTAAATCTGTGCTCAATTAGGGAGCGGTCATAAAGTAAGTGCTACCCCGGGGCGGAGGATATTGGGATGGGGTATGAAATTTTTTTAGGGATTTGGATGGGTATGAAATAAATTTATCACTGTAAAGAAGGGGTATGAATCAAAATTTGTTTGTTTCAATACAAAATATGTGTTAATACAGTTTAATATTATGGCTCCGTTCATGGTCCAAATAATTTTTCATACATCACTGTCTCATAAAAGATTTGACCGTTGCTCATGTAGTCTCCCTTGCAGTTGCTCTTTGTGTTGTGATTTTATTCCTCTTCATGAGCTTGTGTGGAGGAGTACATGATGACACAAATATTATTCATAGAATGGCTGTAAGAGAGATTATTGTACCGTATATTTAATACACAGTGTAATCATTTTTAACCCTATTTGTACGGGGGTACGCACAATGAGCGCACCCAAATAAATATTTATCCGTCATTCCTGAACAAATGAATCCATTTGATTTTCTGAAAATTCAACGTTATCTGGACGTTTGACAACATTTGTCAAACAAGGTGTCTGGGCCAAAAATGGGAAAATGTGGATTGGACAGTATTTTTTGGTATATTAGTACAGTATATTAATTAGAGAACATATAAAGATGGATTATTACACATGATTTGCAAAGTAAAATATCCATAATATATTATATACCATAGTAAAATATAGTATATTAAATAAGAATAGCAGAGATTAAATATATAAATATATTGTATATTATAAAATACTTATATAATATAAAATACTTATTATATGGCAAGCATTTGTTTTGATGAATCGTGCAATTTGATTGGCTGCTGACAAGGCAGGATTTTCCCGTATTGCCCACGGGCAATGTGCAATTTTTATTGCCCTGCGACAGACTCGTCCCCAGTCTTTATTTGAATTTCAATTTTATAGGGACGAATAGGTATATATCCATATATATATATATATATATATATATATATATATATATATATATATATATATATATATATATATATATATATATATATATATATATATATATATATATATATATATATATATATATATATATATATATATATATATATATATAGATCAGTACCAAATGTGGACGCGCGCAAGGGGAAAAGGGAAGGTGAGGGAAAAAATAACGACTGGCAGATTACAGAGACAAAATGGCGGACAATTTGACAACAAAAAGAGGAAAGACTATTTTAATATACACCACCGAGCGTTTTTAGCTGATAAACTCCCTTGTCCGCATGAGGAATGTCAGTATAATTTATCTTGCTATGATCAAGATGGTTTAGACCACCATTACAGGCAATCCATAAATGTCCTGTAACCTGTTATTTCAGACTTTCAGCAGTTCAGCTGATTAGTGATATTAAAATTTATAAGGCGAAAAGTCTTATTGTGCCAGAGAACTGAGAGAAGCACTCAAAGGAAACACTGTCATGTTTGGAAAAGCTATCGATTAACAACCAATCGAAGGTATTCGTAAATCTTGAGTGTTGAATGCCTTTAATTGGAGCCAGCGAGCAATATAAAAACAGGTAGGTATTTTATTCAATTTTATTTATGCGTTTATATCTTTATATTTCACGATGAAATGCACTCTTAAACTCTTTGGATTATAAAGAAAACAGCTTTTTGCTGCTTTTTTTGCAACCTGTGTATTTCACAATTTGGTTGCCGAAACTACAAATTTTTGTTATTTTTAAATTACTTTATAAAGTGCTATTAACTCCAGGTTTTGTGTAATATGATTAGGTGCCAACTTAAAACTTTGCATACAAGGCTATTAAATCAATGACAAGACTTTTGGAGCATTCAAATATTTCCCAAAATACCTGTAAATAACAAAATATACCCCCCCCCCACTAACTAAATGTTACTGTATGATGAAAAGACGTTACATTGGCCATTAACAACACATTGTTGGGGGCCGGGGGGCACAGGGTTGTAGGGATAATATAGAAGCTCAGGTGGCACATAACTCCTATCATAGCCTTAATTAACAATTTGGAAAACCAGAAATACTGTATCAATGCACTAGGGGCAATCTGGCAATTACTTCTAACTATGTTCTGACAATCATTGCACTCATAGTCCTTGAAATGATAAGGTAATTTCTACCTTGTATCATGGCCAACGTTTAGGGCTACTTTCAGTGCCTTAGCAAGCTCGATAATTGGGGGAGGCTTATATTCATATATATTCTGCGTTATTAATTTCTTTTGAAATTGATTGTTTTTATGGACTGTACTGTGAATATGAATATATAAATATGAGCCCCCCACCCCTCCCCCCCATTGTCGAACTTGCTACGGCACTGACTTTTGATTGTTATACCATTAAGTCTGATAATTGCACCACCAATGATTCTGGTATCTCTTGTTTTTCCCATCATCATTTCTGTACTCAACTTTACAACATATAATATATTCTTGTTTATTCCAGAATTATCTTACAATTGGAACACCATTTATCACACAATTGGAAATTTGTCCCGACTCACCCTGGTTTCCCAATTAAGCCCTAGAGTGACAGCACTCTCCCCTGATGAGTAAATTGTCTGGTGTTAGACAGAGTAAAATAATAATGTAGGGCATATCAGGGTGCATTGCCACTTAAAGGGTTAATCTTGATCTGGGTTGCAAAATACTGCAGTACCAAGCAATATGTATGGAAATTGAAGAGACAAAAGCTGGATTAATTTTGAACCATTTTAATTGGACTTCTTCAATGGAATTATTAACAGTGAATAATTTTAAATTAATTTAAAACTAAAATGTATTATAATTACAGTTAGTGTACATGATGTAGTGGAGCATGTCTATTATATTAACTTAATAAAGCTTTATACTTTCATATGTTATCTGCATGGTGGGGGTGGGTGGTTGTGCAGAAAAATTCAGGGGTGGAAGGTGAGTGAGGGGCACGTAGCCACAGAATAAGACACACAGAAGGTTGACTTGAGTAACCGTTGCCACGCCATGATTCATCAAAATGCTGATGCCATGGTCCTACCCAGTGCGCGTTTAAGAGGGATTCCCCCCTAGACGTTCACCATTTTGAATAATAGAGACCTTAAGATTGACGTTTACGGCAAAGGTCAAACCGCTAGCGAAGTTTTTGATTTTACAGCTCTATTATTGTAGCTTTTACACCAGTTTTGAAATATGTTAAACTGATTAAACTTCTGCTCTTTAGCAATGATTTAAGAAAGAAAATTAACCACTAGTCATGCCATTCACCAAAGCTGTAAATTAAGATTTAGCGTTTGAAGTTGACGTTTGACGTATAAATTTCATGCTTTAACGACTACAAGCCCTCGTAGCAGTTCAAAACTGGTGTAAAAGCTATTATAATAGAGCTGTAAAATCAAAAACTTCGCTAGCGGTTTGACGTTTGCCGTAAACGTCAATCTTAAGGTCTCTAATATCAGGGGAGTGAATGCCTCTCAAACGCGCACTGGCCAGGACCATGACGTCAGCATTTGATTACGGGTTACGCCAAAATCATAGGAAAACCCAAGAAGTCGACCTTCTGTGTACCTTATTCTGTGACGTAGCATCCTGAGGAAGATTAACCAAAACACAATATACCAGACAAATATAAAATATTATGTCATTTGTAATACAATGTAATGAATTGGATTGATCATGTATTGCATATGCACATCAGCTTTTACACATGTAAAAAGAATATATTTGTTTATGTTCGCACAACACCCTTTTCTTTTTACAGTTAGGAAATATGGCTGCCAAAGCTCTTGAAAGGTGGCTTTTTACACTAAGATCATCAGTAACAACATCCTCTTGTTTAAGTCTCAACCCTTCTGTTTTGATGCATATATTCTTTAAAGAGCCCTGAAGATCTCCAGGAACAAATGTGCTAACATCACCTGCACATTCAAACAAGTGACTTATTAAAAATACAAGTTCCAACCTTGAACAACTTTCCTGCATTTAGTTCTTGGTAATCCCGGACTCTTAGAATCTGGTGTTAGGTCAAAATGGCAGTAACTTTCTCGCTTTGGGAGTTCTAGGAGTGCTGGTCTTAGGACACTCATCTGAATTGATGGAATTGAAGTCTATAGTTCAGAGAGACAAAAATTACAACTTGAAACAAGGCAACATGGCGCTAATCAGCCGAGGGTATAATGAATTCCAGTTTCTTAATTTCTTTAGTATTCGCAAGTTTATGCTACGGCTCAAAGGGTCAACAAATTCAAGACATTCAAGTGGTAGAATGTATTATATTATCTTTTAGACTCACCATCTAAGTTCATCAAAGTCCGCCATTTTGAAGTACTCCAGACTTGACCAATTGAAGGCCGATATACTTGATAAAAATACGCACTTTGCAGAGACTACATCATAAAATGATCGATTTATGTATACCAATGTCAAAAAATCCAAAATTGAAGCATAAAATATTAGTTTGCAAGAAAACCAATTTCTAGCCGGCGTGCAGGCCCAAGGGAACTTGATAGTGGGCCTGCAACCATCGCCCGGTATTTTGAAATACGCCCCTTTTCATAACACGCCCCATTCGCGCGTCAATTGTCAAAAAAGAACCAATGACAGCACCCAAATATTAACAAACAAACTCGCATTAAAATGTTGCGGGGTTTTCTCTGCTTATTCAGAACATAAACAATGTGTAAATGGCTGCGTTTTAACTCCAAAAAAGCAAGCAACGCAGTCAGTAATTGCCAAATTTGCAAGTGCTCATTTTCAACTAAAATCGGAACAGGCAAATTAGGACGAATTTCAACAGAAAACCAGTCTCAAACTTCAAATCATGAGGGAAGTCGGGCGACCACATTAGGATTTATATTATGTGTGCTTCGCTGTCGCCATTGGCATTGTTATAAATAAATTGTCTCACTTATCAGATCGTGTGTGCAATTCTTGTTGGCGGCGGAAAGTACGAAATTTATTTCATTTGGTAAAGAACTCTACAAAAGAAGAGAGCGTTCCGAGTCCAGATCGTTTCGTTTCGTTTCGTTTCAAACGGCAATTTAATACCGCCTTCTGTTTCGCTCTCTCTGCGAAGCCTTGTAAAGTGTTTCGAATAGGCTTACAGTTCTTACATGCAACTGCATCTCAACATCAACCAAAAGATAATTTTCTTGAGGAAGTGAGAACACATAACGTATCAACTGAAGTCTGTTTGAAATTAATGAAACTCAAGTAAAGGTTACTATAGTTTACCCCGGTCGTAATGTTGCTATTCCAACACCTCACGACAAGCAATCCCCATTGGCATAACGGCAAAAACATGTCTTCCTTCAAGTAAACAATAAACAGTCCGTTCTTGTTCCATTTGTAATCGAAAAAAGTGATCAATTTTCAAATTTTAAGCTTATCGAGAGCCTTTGTCTATGCCTTTGTGATGAATCACTGTTCCCTTGTGCCTGCACAATGGGCTAGGTTAATTAATTACCGATCACCTCAGCTAGCCAATGGGAATTTAGCCGGCGGTTCGGCCGGCGAAAATCGAAAACATGGGGTGATGGTTGCAGGCCCACTATCAAGTTCCCTTGGGCCTGCACGCAGGCTAACCAATTTCTTGCAAGAAAAATCACAGTAATCTGCCAGTCGCTAAATTTTCTTCTTTCGCCCTTGCCGTGAGCCTCTACGCGCCCACTTCTGGCCGCGCGCCCGCTCTTAAAGCGACTGGGGACGAGTCTGGCCCTGCGACGAGAGCCGAGTTTCAAACGCCTAAAAGAGTCTAAAAGTCTTTCAAAGTATTCAAAACGAAGAAAAATAAACCTAAACTAAAGACAAGGAGCACCTTCTGTGATTAAAGAACTTTCACAATATGTTTTTGTTAGCGAAAGTCGAAATTACAAGGTAAATTTACAATGTTTATAACTATTAAACTAGTCAGGAATAGCTGTGTTTTGACTTTGTGAAGAGCTGCAAATTTTATTTGCAGATAGCCGAGGAATTTGACACCATCCTAAATAAAAACTACAACTAAATCAGCCACAGATTTATATCGGGCAGATGGTATTCCAAGCAAGATAATTTCCGACAATGGCCACAGTATACCTCATCTACCTTTCAAGAATTTAGTCGTACGTATGGTTTTACACACATCGCATTTTGTTAAATAAAATGAATGAGCAATTTGGAATTTTTGGCGTAGAATTAAAATGGTTTGAGTCATATTTAACAAATAGAGAACAGCAATGTAATGTTAATGGAGAATTATCTAGTAATAAAATTATCACCTGTGGAGTGCCCCAGGGATCTATACTGGGACCATTGCTGTTCCTATTATATATTAATGATTTGCCCGATTGTTTGAAATCAACTAATCCATGCATGTACGCGGATGATACTCAAATCTTTTCATCTTCCTACGATGCAAACGCACTTGTTGTAAATTTAAATTCAGATCTTGCCCATGTCTGTAACTGGCTTAAAGAAAATAGGCTGCAGATGCATCCATCAAAATGTAAAATGATGTTTATTGGCTCCCCGTATAATCTTAATAATATAATGTGTGAGGAACCCGTTGTGGCTAATACAAAACCCATATCACGAATTGCTACACAAATGTGCCTAGGAGTAAAACTAGATGAAACCCTTAATTGGGATAGTCACATTGAAATGATATGCAAGAAGGCGAGCGCTGCTATTGGCGCTATGAAACGTATAAAGCCCTTTTTTCCAATGCATACCTTAGAATCGATTTATAAAAGTCTTGTGCAGCCCTACTTTGATTATTGTTCCCCCCTTTGGGACACTTGTGGTAAGTTGCTAAGAGACAAGTTGCAAAGATTTCAGTCTCGTGCAGCAAGAGTCCTAACAGGTGCTAATTATGATACTCGCTCAGCTGATCTTCTCAACATGCTTTCTTGGGATACACTTGAAAATAGGCGGTCTGGTGCCAAGTCAGTATTAATGTATAAAATACTTAACGACCACACTGCGCCAGGTCTCCGGGGGTCATTCGTGAGAAGAGAAATAGATCAAACTAATTATCATCTTCGAAACACAGCAACTGATCTAACAATTCCTAAACCGAAACGAGAATTTCTTAAAAAAAGTTTTAAATATGGCGGCGCTATGCTCTGGAATCAACTCCCAAACGAAGCAAAATTGGCCGAGTCGCCTCATTCGTTTAAATCAATTGTTGGACAGCGACATGCTTCCTAATTATTTGTATATAGTAACGTGTACAGTATGTGTGTACTAATATTTAGTTTAAATTTTCCTTTTAATGATTTTTTAAGATCTAAACACGCCCCCCATGGAAACCAGCCTAGAGTTGATGGGGCTAGCGTGTTCTTCTTTCTGTTAATTTTAAATAAAGTATTACCTACCTACCTACCTAGCTACACTATAAAGCATGAAACCGCGTTTTTATATTTGCTTTCCACTAACGAGTCGCGAATCAAAATAACCTATGATGTACACATCACACATCACACATCACACATATGTGCGTGGTCAATACTCCGGGACAAAACAAATCACAATCTACCTAATTTCCTCTATTCGCCATCAGGTTTCTGATGAACATGTAGAGCTGCCTCGTACCCAGGCGCTTTAAATAATTACAATACATGAAGTATTCAGGTAGGCAGGCGACGCGCGAAGGGGCTGTTGGGAAGGGTGCGTGCTGGGGAGCGCCTGGCAGTTCTTGTATACTGTCATGGCGGACAAACATGGAATTTAATACAAAACGTTACCATATCGTCATATACTCTGTGTGTAAAACCATATTTTCTGACGAAGAGTCGAATTGAACGCCATTGGCAAATAATAATAAATTTGTAGATGTTTGATGACATACAAAATGCGCGAAAAATTATGAGTAAATTACATGGCAAGTTAACCGTGCGAGTATTTCGAATATGTCATTCGGTATTACATGGAGAATTATAATAGAATGCTATCAGTTGCTTAATATATAACAGCAACAGAGAAATATTAGAAAGTCATATAATTGCTTTTGTATTAATAACTTCTTTTAGCTGAAGGCTCGATCAGTCGATCACAATGCCAATGGCAATTTCTATTAAATGTATACTGTAAACAAAAGCCCAAGTAAATAAAAGTTCACAGCCGTAAGGTTTGAAATATTTATTACAACAGTGCAATTTTATAGTTTGTACCTTTATATAGTTATAGCTTACAAATCTAGTTCCTGCAAGTCTAGTTCTTCAACGCTTCGGTTGTTGACATGTTAATATTGGAATTTCCATGGACATTAAATAAGGCATATGTCATATATACCAAGAATAACAGCATGAATTCACGCCCAGATGACAGAAGAATATTAACATTAGTCAATTCAACAAAAACAAGTAGCAAAAAATCGTAAACGACAACGAAATATCACAACTTGCAAGAAATCGTACAAAGTTGCAAGAAATCGACCAAGAACTGCCAGGCGTCTCGCATTTCAAGTGCACT